CAGTTGTGTGGCTTATTCGTGGGGTGTGGAATAATAATATGGTGTGGCGTATCAATGCGCTGCGAATAATTAATGTGTTTTTAGGTATTATTGGCCTGTGTGGTATTAATGATGTTGTATTGTTAATTGAGTGTGCTGTATAAAGGAGGTACGAGGTATTATTGGGGTGTGTGAAACTTTGATGTTGTGTACCTGTTATTAACGAATTTTCTGGGTACTAATGGGATGTATGACGAATTAGTGTGGTGTGTGGTGTCAACGGAATCTGTGGTATTAATGGGCTTGTAAAAGTAATGTTCTATGTGGTAATAATAGTGGATGTGGCATAAATGGGTTGTTGAGGATTTTAATGGCGTATGTTGGGTATTAATGGGGAACATGGGTTATGGGGTATTAAAGGGGTGTGTGGTATCCATATTGCGTGGGGTACTAATGTGGTTTGCAGTACTAATGTGGTGTGGTGCTGATTAATGGAATGCGTTTATTAATGCGGTGTGTGGTACTAATGGGTTGTCAGTTATTAATCGGTTATGTGGGGTTTTATTGGTTTATGAGGGGTGTGATAATGAAGTGTGAGATGTGCTAATGGTTTGTGCAGTTTTATTGAGATGTGGAATATTAATGGGTTGTAGGATACCAATCGGGTGTAGGGTAATAATAATGTGTGGGATAGTAATTTGGTTTATGGAGTACTTATGTGGTGTGTGATATCCATGCGGAGTGTCGTATTAATATGCTATGTGGTATAAATGGTGTATGTTGCAATAATGAGATGATTGGGGTATTACGTTGGGGGTGTGAGGTATTAATATGAGCTAATAATGGGTTGTGGCGTATCAATGTGATGTGGAGTATTAATGTGCTGTGGGGTATTTATGATGTTTGCCGAAATAATGAGGTGTAGGGTCACAATGGGCTGTGGAATATTAATAGATGTTGTTATGTGGGGTAGTTGTGTATTATTGGGTAAACCTGGGTTATTTGGGGTATTATTGAGGTCTATCAGGTACTGATTAAGTGTGCCTTATAAATGGAGTGTGGGACGTTAAATGTGTGTGAGGTATGTAAGCGCTGTGTGCTGTATTAATGGAGTCTGTGGTGTTAATGCAGTGTTTTATGTTAATGGGGAGTTTGGTATTAAGATGGTATGTTGCATTAATGGTGTGTTTGGTAATAATTGGGTATATGGGACACTAATATTTTGTGTGGGATATTAATGGGATGTGGGGATGTATCAATGGGTTGTATGGGCTGTTAATGGTGTTTGGAGTATTAATGTGCTGCGGGTTGTTAATGGGTTTTGCGGTATTAATAGAACGTGGGTATTAATTTACTGTGGTATGAATGGGGTGCATGGTATTGGTGGGCGTGGTATGAGTGGGGTCTGTGGTAATAACGTAGTGTGTGATATTAATTGGGTATATGGGATATTAATGGTGCGTTTGGTATCAATGGTGATGGGATACTACTGGGTTTTAGTTTATTACTGGGTTATGGCGTATTAATGGGGTGTTGGATATCATTGGGGTATGACGTGTTAATTGGGTGGGGTCTGTTAATGGGGTTGTGACTAATTAGTCGGTGTGTGATGTCAATGGGGAGTGTTATTAATGGGCTTGTGGTGGTTATGCTGTATGTGGTAATAATGAAGGGGGTGGTAATAATAGGTTGTTTTAGTAGGATATGTGGGATATTAATGGTATATGTGGGGTACTAATGGTGTGTATGCGATATTAGTTGGGTGTGTGGTATCAATATTTTATGAGGCATTAATGTGGTATGCGGTATTACTGGGGTGTACGGGGTATAAATGCAGTCTGATTTATTAATGGGATGAGTGGTAATAATGGGGCGTGTGAATTATTAGTTGGTTGTGTGCGGTATCATTGGTGTGTGTGGAGGTTAATGATGAGGTGTATGATGTGTTAAACGCTTGTGCCGTATCAATGGGGTGCAGGATACCAATGGGGATGTTAGTTGTTAATGAGGTGTGGGATATTAATCGGTTTTTATGGGGTAGTAATCGGTATGGGTTATTTTGGGGTTGTGGGTTAATAATATGGTGTGGGGTATCAATGCGTTGTAGGTTATTAATGTGTTGTTGAGTATTAATGGTGTGTGTGGTATTAATTGGGTGTGGGGTTTTATTGTGCTTAATAATTTATTTGGGTAATAATGGAGTGTGAGGTGTTAATGATTTGTGGGCGTTTAATTTGGTGGGGGATATTATAATGGGGAGTGCGCAATAATTGGGATATCTGGCAAAGATGGTTTGTGAGGTACTAATGTGGCTTGGAAGGTATTAATGTGGTGTGGTTTTTGATGGGTTGTGGGATATTAATAGGGTGTTGGTAGCAAAAGGTTTTGATATATACATGGGGTGTGGGATATCAATGCAGTATGAGTTATTAAGGCCAGCGCCTTGGGACGTCCTCCTGACGTGAAAGGCGCTTTATAAATGGAATCGTGTTGTCTTGTTGTTGTTAATGGGGAATGTGGTATGAATGTGGTGTGAGATACTAACAGGGCGTGTGGTATTCATTTTGCAGGTGGTATTAATGGAGTGTATGATATTAATGAGTGCTTAGGCAGTTGTTAGGCTAATGTTGGTTTGTGGGTATTAAAGGGTTGTGGGGGGCATTAAATGATTATCTGGAGAATCATTGGTGTATGCGGAGTACTAAATAATTATATGGTGTACTAATTGTTTGTGGGTTATTAACGACGTGTGTGGTATTAATGGGTTTGTTTGCTATGTATGAGCTGCGGTATTCTAATGGAGTTTGGGGGCCATTAATGTGATATGTGCTTTGTGTGGCATTAATGTAGTTTGGTTTATTGATGGGTTGCGGGATATTAATTGGGTGTTATATATCAATGGGTTGTGGGATACTAATCGGAAGGTGGTACTTAAGTGGTTTGGGACATTAGTGCAGTGTTGGTATTAATATAAATATATTAATATGGTGTTGGTAGTAATATGTTGTGATGTATACATGGGTGTTGGATATCAATGGAATGTGAGTTATTAATTGAGTGTGTGGTACTAATGGGTTTTGAGGTATTAATAGGGTGTCTGGCATTAATCGGTGTGACGTATTAATGAGGTGCGTGACATTAATGTGGTATGTAATATTAATGGAGTGTATGGTTTTAATGAGTTTTTAGGATACTAAAGGGCTATGGGTGGTATTAACTGATTGTGTGGAGAATTAATGGTGTGTGCGCTGGTTACTAATGAAATGATTTATTAATGGGTTGTGGGGTATTAATGGGGCGTGGGTTATTAATGCGGTGTGGGATAGCATTGGGGTTGTGGAGCATTAATGTGGTGTCATGCATTAATAGGGCGTGGATATTAAAATGATTTGTAGGGAGTTATTGTGGTGTGGGTTACAAATAGGGTGTGGGTTATGAAAACGTTGTTTGGTATTAATGGTGTTTGTTTTATTATAGGGGTGTGGAGTATTATTGCGGTGTCACGGATTAATGGAGTGTGAGGTATTAATGAGGTGTACGGTTTTAATTTGGTGTGAGGTATTAATCGGGTGTGGGCTATCAATGGTATTAATGGTATGAGGGGAACTAATGTATTTTAAGTGACATTAATGGGGTATGGTTTATTAATGAGTTGCGGAGTATTAATTCGGTGTTATATATCAATGGACTGTGGGCTATTAATGGGGTGTGGGTTTTAGTGCTCTGTGGGTATTATTCCAACAACAACTTGGATTTATATAATGCAATGATTATTATTATTATTATTATAGCAGCCTCCACGCCTGACAGTGTCACAGAGTGTGTAGTGTGGGGTATTCATGCAACGTTAGCTACTAATGGAGTGTGTGTTTCTAATGGGGTGCCTGGTATCAATTGTTGTGAGGTATTAAATGGGTGTGTGACATTAATGCGGTATTATTGGAATTTGTTCTTTTAAAGTGTTTTGGTTATTAATGGTGTGTGGAGGTATTAAAGGGCTGTATGGGGTTTTAGTGCGCTGTTCCAAGTATCAATGTGGTATGTGATATTAATGAGTTTGAGGCATTAATGTTGTCTATGTTGTTATTGGGAGTTGCGGGGTATCAATATGGTGTATCACGAATAAATCAGTTGTCAATGGGGTGTGTGGCATTAATGGGAAGCATAGTATTAGTGTGGTATCTGGTGTTTATGGGGTGTGTGATATTAATGGGATGGTTGGCACATTAATGATATATGTGGGGTATTAATTGGGTGAGTGGTATCGCTCACTCACTCTCATACACTCACACTCGCCCATACTCACACATTTACTCACACAATCGCTCACTGACTGTCTCACACTCTACCACATTCACTCAAAAACTCACATACTCCCACACTCACTCTCACACGATCGCTCACTCACCCATTCACACACTCACTCACACACTCATACAATCATTCACCCACTCGCACGCTCACTTACTGACACGCTCATCTCACTCGCCCAATCACTCACACACTCACTCACCCACTTATTTTTACTCACTCACCCACTTACGCCTAAACTCACTCATTCTCTCACACACTCAGTCACACTCACTCATTCTCACCCACTAACGCATACTCTTTCACGCTCACTCATTCTCACTCACACTCATTCATTCTCACCCACTCAATCACATACCCACTCACCTGTTCACTTACTCATACATTCACTCACTCACTCACCCATTCTCACACACTCACTCAATCTCTCACACACTCACTCACGCACTCTATCACACTCACACTTACTCCTTCTCACTCACACACTCACTCATTCTCACTCACTCACAAACTCGCTTTATCTCGCGCTCTCTCGCACTCACACTCTCTCCCGCTCTCTCCCTCTCTACACTGTGTGTCTCTCTGACACGCGATCCCTTTCTCCCTCTCTCACATCTCTGTCTCTCTATCTCACTGTGAATGTCTCTCTGTCACACACTCTCTCTCACACTCTCTCTCGCTCACGCACTCTTTCTCTCTCTCCTACTGACCTGAGCCTCTGTCGGTCCCAGTTGGACAGCAGCTCGCAGTCGCTCTCTGTCCGGCTGGACCTCCGCCATATTTGAACTTCTCCTCCTCCAACCGTCTCCGCCCACTCGCTCCCCATTGGTCCATTCCTGGCGAACGCTTTCTGCGCCTGAGCTTGCCATTGGTTTGTTTGCTTGTCAAGCAGATAGCGCGCACTAATAGGTCGGAATCTACTTCAATCACCCTTACTCATTCCCATTCTTCCGCTCTCTTTCAACAGCCACCATGTCAACGCCCTCTCACTGCACAATGCCCCAATCAAACGACCGACCCCTCAGCTAGAGCTTCCCATTGGTCTGCCTGCACGTTAATCAGTAGTTACGCTCTGATAGGTCCAAGTCGACATCAATCATCTCCGCTTCATCCTGCCTCACGCTCTCTCCAAACGCAAAACATTCCCCGCCCACTCGCTTTCCATTGGTCCACTCAAACACCCGCCCCATCTTTCAAAGCTTTTCATTGGTCAGTTGTGTTTGCAATCACACTGCGTGCTCTGATAGATCCTTCCCCTCGTCACTCAGCTTCCCACATTCCTGCCCTTTTCTTCACCCGACACTCTCTCCACGCCCACTCGCTGCCTATTGGTCCTTTCAAACACGCTCCATCTTCCTATTGGGCATCCCGGCTGTCAATCTGCTGTGCTCCCATGTCTTCCTGAATTCTGTCTTCACCCCTCTGTCGTTCACCAGCTGTCATGGGCAAATCGCCCGGTAGTCGATTGGCATTGCTTTTCCAGGGCTAACTGTCCTACAGTTGTTTTTCGAAATGATAATATTACTGTCGCTTCAACCCACGACGACAATCACTCCACTTTACAGTATATGCTTTGAAGCGCTTTGAGACATCTTAAACATGTGATGAGGCACTGTACAAATGCAACGATTATTATTATCTTTATTATTATTATCATCGTTATTATAAACAGGTCGGGACGTTCAGCGAGAAAGGCGCTGTACAAATGATAGCTACTTTTGTCAGTGGGACAAATGGATCTTTAGGTCATGTCTTACCTCAACTGGGCTGTTTGTTTATTTTATGATTTTATCCGACAGTGAAGTCCTGATGTGCGTTGAATGACGCACACCGGCACCCACAAACGCAAATACATACTGACACAAAGTCAGACACACAATCAGACACACACAGACAGACACAAATAAACAAACAAAAGCACTGGCACAAGACGCACACACAGACAAACACAGAGCGATACACAAACACAGAGATATACACACACACATATAGAAACACACAGACACACTCACAGACAGATTCACACGCATACATAGTCAGACACACAGACAGGCACAAACACTCATAAACATGCAGGCACATACACTTTGGCACACACACACGGACACTCACAGACACTGATCTCCTGTTGCGATCAGATACAGACAGCAGATGACGCTAAGCTACTGAAGGTGATTGAGAAGCATTTTCTCCTGCGAGGACATTCAGCCACGTCTTTCTTAACCACACCATTTCTCTCCCTCAATATCTACTCCCCACACCACTCTCTCTATCGGGAGCTGGGGCGTCTCTTTCCCCTCAACTTCTCAACCACACACTCCCTCTCACTCTCCCCACCCTCAGTTTTCGTCATTCCCGCTTTCTCACTCTCTCGCACAACTTCCTGGAGTGACACTACGACCTTCTCCATGGTCACTATTGTCTGAAATGAAAGAGAGAGACGCAAGATATCTCCATGGTATCCAGTGACTGACAGAAGGGAGAGACAGGCCCACTGTCTCACTAATAACCAGTGTTAACAGGAGACCCGCCACAATTATTGTTATTATTGTTATTATTCCTCCGCCAATGTTAAGCTTTGAGACGGAGTAGGAATGCACTATATAGTGCAAGCTGTTATCCTTCTTATTATTAGTTCTATGATATTATTATTGCTATTATTACCCGTACAAAATAACAGCTACTTATGTTTTTATACCTCCCAGAATTTAACAATGGCGGAGCCTGATATTGTATTGTCCTCCCCAAGTGAAAGTCGCGATACAAATGTAAGTGTTGTTGTTTTACTTAAAACCCATATAAAATAATAATAAACATCTATCAAATAATTATAACATCTATTAAATGATAAAGTTAAATAAATCTGAATATCAAGTGAAATCCTGTGGCAATGTGATTTGTTAGAATAATAGTGATAATCATTCCATTTGATACAGCGCCTTGTCACATCTTCGAGATGTCTCATAGCAGCAATTCTGCTGTTGAATTGGGTAGTTTTTCTTGTTTTTACAGTTAAGTGTTTGAGCACTTTTCGCATTTAAGTTTGTGTCGTTTTTCCTTTATATGCGGTGACGCTGTTAATGTGACACCATGACAGAGTTCAGCTACACATCAGCCATTACGAATTAACACTATGTGTAACATGCTCAAACAGATTGAATTGAGCTGCTCTGCATTTTAAAACAAGGAAATCTCTTTTCTCTTTCCCAAATAGTGTCACAGTACCTTTAATGTCTGAACACTGCAGAACATAGAACGCAATTTAACATTTAGTCTTAGAGGTTCAGTGACACAGAGAGAGAAAGAGACACAAAGATTGCGAGAGACAAACGTTTTAAGAGCGAATGGCAGTGTGAGATACACAGAGGGATAGAGAGAGAGAGTCATTATGAATGATAAAAAAGGGAGAGTGAGAGCATTGAGAGTGTTTGAGAGAGAAAGGCAGAATGTGAGAGAAGCTATCAAGCTAACAGCACGAGTGTTTTTCAGCTACGCATACGCTTTTGCCAGTTGATAGCATCTCCAATATTAATCCTTTCATAAAGCTTAAATTTAGCCTGGCTGCAATCTAACACCTGGAGAAACTTCCTTCTCGATCCAAAAACGTGTCGGGATCTGTAACAAAAATAATACTACTCATAATAATAATCGTTGCGTTTGATATAGCGCTTTTCACGTCTTCCACCCGTCTCAAAGCCCTTCACAAAACACGAAGCAAAGTGAATAACTGTATATTTGTTAGCGAAACGCGGCAACCAATTGCGCAGACCAGTGTCCCACAAAGAGATCAATTTATTATTGTTTTGTTTTGGAGGGATTATTATTAGGCGTGTGGACTAAGGAAACTTACCCAAGGTTTCGCCCTCTGCCTGCAGTTGAACCCAGGTATCTGGTTTGCAAGGCGAGTGTTCTAACCACGGAACGACAGGACTGTATTTGTCTTCAACACGGCACAAATAAAGCTCAGTTGTTCCTCTCTTCTTACAGCCTATGAGAGAAAGATGGAGAGTGAGAGGGCCTAAGGTTGTGAAAGATTGACATTGCGAGAGACACCTGGGGATAGACGGAGGGTGAGAGTGTGAAACGTAAGGAGGGAGAGTGAGATTGGAAGTAAGAGAGAAATCGACAGAGTTTGAGAGTCAGTGTGTGTGACAGAGAATTTCAGAGACACAAATGGAGAGAGAATGACAGTGTGAGAGACAAAGTGTGTGTGTCAAACAGACTTTGAGAGAAACAGATGGATGGAGACTGAGAGTTTCAGAGCTAAAGATGGAGATGGACAGACTGAGAATGTGACATTTTGCTTCGGAGTATGAGTGAGAGTGTGAGAGACACAGTGTGCATGAGAGAGACTAAGTGTGAGCAAAGTTACCATCAGTTTTCACATGGATTATATTAATTGGCACAAAAAGCTGCACTCCCGATGGCAAAGGCGCCCCACAAATGTAATTTGAATTGTATTGTATTAACTTGTATTAAGCTTGAAAGTCAGAAATAATGGCTACACCTGTGGTCACTCCAGGTATTGCAGGTTGGAGAGCAGCTTCCTTACCTGATGGTAATGCTCTCAAAATCAGACAAGACAGCAGGGCTCAGTAACTCCCAATTAATCGAATATTGTGTAATGTGGAGCTGGAGAGACCGGGCAGGAGGTCATTGGAATCTTCCAGCCGGGAGTGCCGATGGCGCGGATGAGTATTTCGGCTGCTGTGAATGTGATATGTGGATTGGGGCAAGTAATGTGGCAGAGTTGGAATAAAGTGTTCCTGGTCAGCAATGAATGTGGGAAAGAAAGCAAAACTGCTGTTGACGAGTGTTGCTCATTGTTCTGATTAAAATTGTACGTTTGATGTGCTATCTTCAAATTTTTTGTCATAAATGCACTTTGATTCTGAATAACCTTTTGTCTGAAATATTGAATATTTAACTGAAACGTCTCGGAGACGTGAAGAGGTGCTTTATGAAATGCACAGATTATTATTATCATTAAAGAACAGTTGTCAGATTCCAAGCGAGTTCATTGTCCAGAGAAATATAGAGTCAAAACTCCGGTAAAGACATTCTGCTGTTCTGTTTAAATGTGTTTATCTTTTTGCAGTTCAATATTTTGTTGCAGGGAGTTGTCTGATTTTTACTTTATATCCGGTAACGCGGCTAAGTTAACACTATGACAATGGATCATCTACACATCACACATTGCCGTTTGTCACCATGTACAATATTAACCCTTTCATACAGCTTAAATGCAGCTTGTCTGAAATATAACACCTGGAGGAACTCCCTTTTTTTTCCTATCAGCGAATCCGAATCTTTAACATTTGTTCACAACACAGCCCAAACTGAATCTCAAATTATCATCTCATCTCAGAGCATAAGAGTGTCGGAGAGAAAGAGACGCATACTAAGAGTGTGAAAAGCAGAATTTGTAAGCGTGTGAGAGACACATAGGGAGAGATAGAGATTGTGAGAGACACAGCGGGAGAAACAGTGATTGTCAGTGTGAAATGGAGGGACCGAGTATGAGAGAAACAATGCGTGTGTGAGACAGAAGAGAGGTATAGATGGAAAGAGTCTGAGAGTGTGAGAGACACAGATGGAGAGAGAGATTGGAAGTTTGAGAGGGAGAGACCTAGTAAGAGAGACACAATGTGTGTGTGAGCAGGAAGGACGGAGACACAGATGGAGAGAGGATGAGCGTGTGTGAGTGACAGACCGAGAGAGACAGACCGAGAGTATGAGCGGCACAGTGTTTCGGAGTGTGGTAGAGATTGTGTGAGAGACACTGTGTGGGTATGTGTGCGCGTGTTTGTG